GATAGATAGATAGAAAGATAGATAGATTAGGGAGACAGATAGGTAGATAGATAGATAGATAGACAGACAGATAGGTAGACAGATAGATCAGTAGGTAGGTCGGTAGATAATCAGAGAAAGATGGAGAAACAGGGAGAAAAGAGAGAAAGAGAGAGAAAGAGTGAAAGAGATCAATCACCTTTCAGTCCATCAGTGGCTTCGCTCTGCCATCGGTGATCGGGGCTGCTACAAGAAATTCTGTGGGGCAGGACGCGCTTAAAGATGAAAATTCTTTGAGCCTTGATGGAAGGCCTTCCTTTTCCCAACGGCCTAACAGCGTTTCTGTTGGGTTTCAACCTCTGGGGCGGGGAGCGGTGCCAGCAAAATGCATGCTCCGAAAGGCGGAAACGCTCCTGGAACCTTGCTAGAACCACGGATGGAACCTTTGTGGAACTTTCCTGGGTCACTGGAACGTTGCTAGAACCTTGGTTGGAACATCGTTGGAACCTGTTGGAAACATTTGGAAACTGGTGAAGCCTGGCTGGAACTGGAACCTTTCCGGAGCCGTTGCTGAAACCTTGGTGAATCTTGCTGGAACCTTGCGGGAACGTTGCTGGAAAGGCATTGGAACATTTCTGGAACTCTGCTGGAACCTAGTGAAACCTTGCTGCAACGTGATGAAACCTTGCTGGAACCCTGTTGCTGGAACCTCTGGCTGGAACATTTTGCTGGGGGCCAATGCGGGTGTCGCTTTCGTTTTTCTTTTCACATTGCTTTCGCATTGTTCCTTGCTTTACTTACTGTGCCGGGTTGTGATGTGGAAGTCTGGCTTGAACTTTGCTGGAACCGGGTGGCAGCCTTGCAGGAACCTGTATGAAGACAACTTCTAGGTTTTCTGTTATTTTTCTTGCGGCAGGCAATTAAAGACGGCGATCCCTTGCTGGAACTGTGATGCTGGAATCCTTGCCTGAACCCTCGAAGGAACCTTTGCTGAAACCTAGCATGAACCTTGCTCTCCAGGGTTCCAAGGTTACAAGGTCACGGGGCAAAGCTCCAAGCTTGCACCAGGATCTCACGATGCAGGTTTCCAAGGTTCAAAGATTTATTCAAAATTAAAGGGTTCCAAGATTTTAAGGTTTCAGGGTTCCACGGTTCCAGGATTCCAGGGTCTATCGCTCCAGGCTTTTCAACTTTTTATGGCTCCAAGATTTAATGATGCATGGAGCAGCCCCGCATAATAAAAAACAAAAACTCAAACAAAATCCGCAAATTTTGTGCTGGCCTCCGGAAAGGTGCCTGCAAGACTTCCTGCAAGGAATTCCTGCGGAGCATTCGTGCAAGGTCTACTCTGGAACCCCGTAACCCCGGAACTCTGAAATCTTGGAGTTTTGAAACCATGGAAACCTGCAACCTTGGATTCCTGGAGCCTTGTAACCTTTGAACCTTGGAACCCTGCAACCTTGGAGCTCTAGAACCCTGGAACTTCCGACTCTATGCAAGTCTGGAACTTGCACCCGGAACCCTCAAGCTTCACCTGAGACTTTTACCTAATTTTAAGACTCTGACAATATGGATCCCTTGGTTCATGGAACCTTGGAGCCAGGAAATTTGGAGTGTGGAAGTATAAGGCTGTAGAGTCGTGGAATTGTGGAGCCCAAGGCTTGGCCTCTTGTAACCTTTTTGCCTTGCTAGCCTCCCTGGAAACCGAAAGCCGCGTGAAAAACTGTGAGCCTTTTACCTTGGAAGTTGACGCCTTACTGTGGATCATACTGCTCATATTGTGTCCTTTAAATAAACTGAAGCAACCCTATTGTGTTTTGCATTTGCTTCGCATTGCGCTGGTCATTTCGTTGTTGATGAATCAAGCTAAGTCCCTTACAAGTCTGGAACCTTGATTCTTGGAACCTTGAATCCTGGGAACTTGCAATCCCAGAGCCCTGGTAATCTAGAACTCAGGAACCTTGAAGCTCTCGAAATCTGCAACTTGCAATCCTGGAAACCTGCGACTGTGGAATCACGGAGCCCTGCAAGACCTTGGAACCTTGCCCGGTAACATTGCAACCTTGGAACCCTGGGACCTGCTGTTGGGTTGCAAAGCTGGGTTAATCAAAAATTGTTGTTCCAACCCTTGTTTCTTTGTCGGAGATAAGTTTGGTACATCCTCATCAAAATGGCGGGCGGCAGGGATTGGGCAAGGCTGTCCATTATCCCCTTACCATTTTTGCCCTGGTTATTCGTGGAATTGGTCATAATATTTCGCATAGTCTGGTCAAGAAAGGCTGGCATCGACTTTGATAGAATCTACTACGCTGATGACACTGTTCCACACGCCGCCAATAAAATGTGGCAAACAGAATACTTTGTGCAGTAGGACGAATTTCGAAGCTGGCCTCTGACTAAGCAGGAGTAAATCTTCCCCTCACGCGATGAACGGAAATGACGTGATCAGATTCGATGATGGAACCGAATTCAAAGGTGTACAGAATGTATGTATTTGGGACATCACATCGCCCAACCATTAAACGTGCGACAGGAAGTGGGCCAAAGAATGCAACAAACTATGAACACCTGGTTCAAACTCATACTTTTTTGGGCTGCAAACGGCACCGCTACATGGGAGCTATGTGTTTACACGCGATCGTCCAAAACAAACACATCTATGCGTTAGAAGCTCTTCGCCTTATATACCCAAGCCGCGTTAAAGAAGATAGATGCTTTCCACCGCCGTGGGCTTCAATCCATTTTAGGACTGGAGACCGCTTTTGTTAATCATCGGAGCACTACTGAATTGGTGCTGAGGACTGCTTCTGACCACTCGAGACATGAAATACAGTTTTTCTCGGGCCTCCTCCTCAAGAAACGCGTTGCTTTTAGAACCACTGATAGCGATCCATTACGACAGACCACCGATGCACCCAGTACAGCGTGCAGCTATCCAAGTGGAAAAAGGAAGGTAGGAAGTCTGAGGCAGAAATGGTGACAATTTACGCATAGATATATTTGGGACAATCTTTCGGACGAACGAACGGGGTACGAAAACACAACCAGGCAAAACCACAAAATTCGTCAATCGGCTCTCGCACGGACCTTTTGAATGCAGTCGCAACGCGGGCCCAAGGGCACTTGAATGCCCACGGCTTCATGAATTGATAAGCTTAAATTTTCAACGGGCGACACTTATTGAACATCTTCGATTATTGACGGGCTTCAAATATTCAAGGGCTTCAGTTTTTGGACAGCTTCGAAAGTTTGAATGGCCTCAGCTATTGAGAGCGTTCAATTATTTAAGGGCTTCTGTTTTGGAAGGGCTTCAACTGATGAAGGGCTTCATTTTTTGGAAGGCTTCAAATTTTGAACAGCTTCTGTTATTGAAGGGCTTCAATTATAAGAACGTCTTCAAACAATGAAGTGCTTCAGTTTTTAGGAGCTTCAAGTATTGATGGGCTTTAAATTTTGAAAGGCTTAGCTTTTTGGAAGGCTTGAATTTTTGAACGGCCTCAATTATGGAAGGGCTTCAATTATTGAAAGGCTTGGCTTTTCGAAGGGCTTCAAGTCTTGAGCGGCTTCAAAAATTGAATTGCTTCCAATATTGAAGAACTTCAAATTTTGAAAGGCTTGACTTTTGAAGGGCTTCAAGTTTTGAATGGCTTCAAGTATTGAAAGGCTTTAATTTTGAACGGCTTGAATGATTGAAGGGCTTGACATTTTGAAGTGCCTGAATGTTTGAAGCGGTTCAATTATTGACGTTGAAAGGTCTCCCTTCTGAAGAGTATCATCTATCAAATTTCTCAGAGGTGCCGCATATGCAAAAACATGTTTTTCCAAGATTGCCGGATTTCTTCAATATACAAGTAGAGCCCGGGCAAGCCGGATGACGGAAGTTTCGGAAGGGAAAGCCTATAGCAACGATGGCCGTTGCCCCCGTGATCTCTTGGAACTCTTTTTCCTTGAAATTTCTTTTTTCTCGACAGCTTGTCTGATGCTGCCACTTTCTCTTGATCCGGCTTGCCCCTGACACGTCTGAATCTTGACAAACCTTCCGGTTGCTCTCTGCTTGTCTGGGCGTCTTTTTCTCCCTGACATGTCTCTTCCAACTTCCAAAAACCACCGTACAAAGCTGGTTCCCCACATCATTGCCGGGAAACACTGTGTGCGAGAAAACACAGGGTGCCGCGCGATTCCTACCCAAGCATCACCTTGACGAAGCAATTCCATTGCGATCTGCAACCACTGCCTTGCAAAGCACATTCTTCCTGCCCGCAACGGCACACAAGATCAGGTCCGCGCAACGGTGCAAAATTTGTGCTCGTTTGTCGTTTTCTTCAAAACAATGCTCATGGCTGGTGGAAAATCTGTGCTCATCTGGTGCTTTTTATCTTCAAGATGGTGCTCCCAGCTGGTGCAAAATTGGTGCTCATCTGGTGCATTTTCTTTTCAGAATAGTGCTCCTAGCTGGTGCAAAATGTGCTCATGTGATGCCTTTTATTTCTCCTCAAAATGGCGCTCATAGGTGGTGCAAAATATACCGAGATATGCTCATGCTGCCGCAGCAGCGCAGTCGAGAAGAAAAATGACTCAAAGTTTGCTAAAAGATGGGTGCTTCTCTGGTGCTTTTTTCAGGCCAAACTGTAGTCGAGCCGGGGCAAAATTTATGCTCATCTGGTGCAAAATGTGTGCTCATCTGGTGCTTTTTTGGTTCAAAATTGTGCTCGTAGCTGGTGCCAAGAGAGGAAGGCTGGAGGTGGATGTATGTGTGGAGGATGCGAGTTGATGCGGAGTGGAAAGGTGTGGCACAGGGCGAATTCGTAGAGAAGTTGGCTCAAAGATTGGCCAAAGAAAAAATGACCGTAGCATACCGTAGCAGACGTTTATGCAAACCATTTTGGGGCTTCATGTCTGGTGCTTTTTTGACAAAGCTTTTAATACAAAACCATTTTCGAACTGTTATTGGGCGGGGGGCTAGCCCAAGGTATGCATCCCACCTGGTAGCCGAACTACGTACGCATGACTTGACACAATATGTCCGCACCACTCAAGCACCCAGTACTTGCTTTTCCGCCTTGGCGCCGCGCCCGCTCCAGCTTCAACTGGTGAATGCTTCAGTGAAACTTTGCGGGGCGTTGTTCCGTGAAGCCCACAGCTCAATTTGGCGACAGAATTTGTTCGGGTTATAGGTGCTTGCCGTTTATTTCGAAGAGGCCGGCTGGAGGGGTGCCATTAGAGATGGCCGGGTTGCCTCGGCAGCACTGCAAAGTTGAGCGAAAGAAAATTCGTTACACTTCAAACTTCTCTGGTTGCAAAATTGCGCGCCGGAAACTGTCAAGCAAAACCCCCGTACCGTATGAGATTAGGCAAGGCCTGTGTGCACAAGTTTCGGCCGCCCAGCTTTCGATCACTAGGTTTGAAGTATTCCGGCGTTTCCCGATTCCTTTTTGTACCAAGGCGCCGCTCAAGTACTGCTTGGCATCTGACTTCATATTTGCACTCCCCGGGATCACGAGTGCACCGTCGAAAGCCACAGTTGACGGAGGCAAGTGGCATCCAGGGCTCAGCATGCTCCGCCCTCCTGTGTGGGCGCCTCGCAAGGGCAGAAGGACGTCTGGTTTTTTTATCATTGCGTGTTAATTCGATAATCAAAAAACAAAGGAAGAGACCTGCCCATGACCTGCCCTTTGAAAGAAATGGGGCGAAGAAAAAAGTCGCATTGGGGTGCAAAGGCACGTCGCAAAAAAACATATATTGCATAATAGAGGACATGGGGACAACGATCAACTGATAGCAGTGAGCCTCGGCCAACCTTGACCGCACTGTATGCTAAACTGGCAGCAGCGAACTTGTGAGAATAGAACGCCCCGCCTCATCCAAGGAGCGGAGAAAGTTGCTGTGAAGTTTCTTGGAAAATGACAACAACACGAGCAAAATAATTACGGCTTGAAACCAAAGGGCGATTAGAGGCTTGTCGGGAACCGCCTTTATCAACACACGAAATTATGCGAAGAAAACCATTGTGCACCATGCCTAGGTAGACGTCATCTCCGAGCGTGATCATGTCGAGCTCGGGGCAGCCCAGGAAACCTTTCCAATGGATCTGTACATCTTTTCCAACTTGAGCACCGCCTGCCTGTGGGAGCGTCATGGCTGCTAGACCGTCAGCCAACATGCATTGCCCACAAACTAACCTGCTGTTGCAAAGGGAAGCAGCAAGACTTAGAATTACAAGGCCCGCGGCATGTCATGCAAAAACAGAGCTATCCACACCCCGGCCCTGTCCTTAGCAAGCCAACTGAGCAAGGGCGTTAGGGAATATGGCTTCAAGGCTCCCACATTGTGCGGAGTGTTCACGCAGGCAGAAGCCTCAGCAATATCAGCCACGATTTACAAAGACATCAGGATACAGCATGACAGCAAGAAATTGCGCATATAAATAGAAACACAAACGCAGCACACAGCCCGATCAAAAAGACACGACGCGACAACGCAACAGCCTTCAATATGCACCACCGGCTCCAACAGAACCCACGCATATACACATGCTTTGTACTGCATCACCGGGCAAAACGTTGCGATGGATTACATCGCGCCAAGGCATCTACCCCCTGTACTCTCTCCACGGGCGGCGAATCCGTAAGCGATTCGATTTGTAAATGCCAAGGATTGGTGATAACGCTCAAACATGGTTGAAGTTGAATCATTTTCAGGAACCAACATTGAACATAAATTATATGTACATATATATATATATATATTGAAACAGGTTGAAAGGCTTCTACGTGGTATGGCATCATTTTGAACCATCTTCTATCAAGTGGCAGAAAAACGTCTGATACCGGGGTCATTGTTTTTTGTTTTTGGATATTTTTTTTTGGATGGTTTTTGTGATGCTTGACAAATGCCACGGATTGGGATGTGCGGCCAAGCCCAGCGTGCATTTTCCTTTACCCGGGATTATCCCGCGAAAGTGTCGCGCGCGGCATTTAAAAAACTTTTTCAGCACAACAAAAGCTGAGTTTACCGAATTCTTGATAAACATTTTTTCAAACATGGTACAAATTTGGGCCCGCAACCTGCGAAGCAATTCTGCTGTCTTGTGGGGGGATGTGACGCGGGAAAAAAATGGCGGGAATACGAAGGGGACCTGGATCATGTGCAATGGTAAACTTAATGCGGTTTCTACGTGGTGTCCGCATCGTAATACATGACTGCGTTCAACAGATAGCCGAAACCTTAAAATAGAGCAAACTTGAGCAACCCATTGCAAAAAGAAAGCGCTCCAGCGAGCAGAGAAAATTTGCATGAAAAAACGGGCAAAAGTAACGCGCAAAAACTGCAAAAATGAAAACAGCCAAAAAGCTCAAGAGGCGAGAAGAAGAAGAGGCGAAAAGACGTAAAGAGGCGAGACGAATTGAGAAGAGGTAAGTAAGAAGAAGCGAGAAGAGCGTGTTGAGAGTGGAGGTGAGAAGAGTTGAGAATAGGTGAGGGGAGTTGAGAAGAACTGAGAAGAGCTGAGAGGAAGTGAAAAGAGTTGAGAGGAGGTGAGAGAAGCTGAAAAGCACCACTGCCACTGCTATAGTATTATAGGCAAGCCTTGCCTGTCATTTCTATAAGAACGCGGCTTCTTATTGGAATCTTCCGTCCCCCACTTTGTGCGGGCTTTGCTTGTATCTGACATAAATTCCACGTTACCTGACGTATTCCTTCAAAGTCAAGCTGACATTTTGTTTGAAAAAGTATGAAAAAGTGTCAAATTATGAATACTATATGACATCTATCTCACATACACATCTATGCTGGCGTTCTATTGACAATATCTCACATATTTTCTGAAATTTCACCTGCCTGGCATATGTTAACATACCATCTGACATATTACCTGACAGGTTATCTGGCACCTTATCTGGTATTCTATCTGCCATCACTTCTGGCATTCTACCTGGCGTCTTATCTAGCATTCAACTCTGACATACTATCTGGCATTTGCTCTGGCATACGCCGTGACATGCTATTTGATACATAGCCTGACCTTTTTCCTGCATCCCACCTCACATATGCAAGCTTTCTATCTCTCTATCTAACACATTCTGACACATTCTGACACTCACTCTGGCCCTCACCCTCACCGTCTCCCTCCCTATCCCTCCCCATCCTCCCTCCCTTCCTCCCTCTCGCCCTCTCTCCCTCTCTCCTTCTCTCCCTCTCTCCCTCCCTCCCCCTGTCTGGTCTGGTCTGATCTGGTCTGGTCTGTTTGCCTGCCTGTCGGGCGAGACCGCCAAGCAGGACTCCATCCCCATCCTGTTCGGGCCCGGCGCCTAGACAGCTGGCGAGCTTGCCATAGTGTTCAGGGCCGGGCGCTGGCGAAAGCATACAGCGACGGAGCTGAGGGTGCGGGTGTTGCAGCAGGCGGGAGAACGCGACTTCTTATTACAATCTAGAAAATTCCTTTGGTACACACAGGGTGGGCACGCACGCACGCGCACACGCACGCGCACACGCTCACGCTCGCACACACGCACACGCACAAGCACACACACACACACGCACGCACGCACGCACGCACACACACACACACACAAGCTCCTGAGCGGTCACGAGAGCCGCACTCAAAGGGTGAGGAACCCTGCGGGTAGCAGTTGCCCCCGACGTTCCACTGTGCTTGCCATCTGGTGGCTTTCGTTGTGGCGGCCTGGTGCTGCGATCGCTGCTGCAGATCCTGTGACTACTTTTCGGCGATTGACTTCACCTTCCTTCTCTACTTTGTCTTCTTAATTCTGGCCGATCTGAGGGGGTGGCTCCCCGTGACTGGTGGATGGGGTGGGCTCCCATAATCTTCTCTGGCCTGTGGATTCAAATAATTTTGGGTATTGCAATTACATTGACTGGCTTGGTCACACTGCTGTTGGACAAAGCTCCCTTCGGTGCTGGCGGGATTCTCTCATTTGCAATTTGCTCAATTTTGCTCTACACCAAAGAGATTTTTGCCTTGCCTCTCCATCAAGAAGATCAACAGACGAAGACCGCTAGCCGGTCCCAATTCCGGCCATCAGGACACCGACGAAGAGCTCTTCTTGTCTTTTGGACTCTTTTTGGATACAACTTTTTTGGTGGACTGATGAGGAGTGAGGGTTTCATCACTTCCATGGGTGATGAGAGAGTGGATGCCTCTGACCAGACTTTTGACACTTGGCTTTCCACGAAACAACATGGATGGGAACCCAGAAAGATTCAAGAATCGAACCAGACTGGTTTTCATAGACAAGTTTGCAAAAGGAGTTTCAAACGAGCTGTGACCAGGGCGAGAATTCACGGAATCACTTGGTATAAGGGTAGATTGTATACGGCATCGCAGCTTGGCACACAACAGGAACCTCAGGCTGTTCCCAAATCCAAGAATGTGAACCCCCCCAAAGCTATTCAGAGAAGACGTTTGACATGTTTCTCCTGGAACTGCAATGGGCTACCACCAACTCACTGGGACTTCTTGACAATGTGGCTGGAGCAGCAAACTGTCGATATTCTTCTCCTTCAGGAAACTCACTGGCAGTTCTCTAGCGACTGGATGTCCAAGGGATACATGATGGTGCACTCGGGCAACCAGACAAATCAGGCTGGACTTTTGTGCATGGTCTCAAAACGTATTTGCCATCCATCAGATCTATCCTGGCATGAACATATCCCTGGACGCGTTTTACAGCTGAGAATCCATGGGGGGTCAAGATGCATAGATATCATTAATGTCTATCAATTTACTTGTATCCCTAGTCACATGGAATCTAGAGAACGCCTTTGGCATCAACTGTTTACTTTGCTCACCACGTTGTCAAAGAAGAATGTTTTGCTCATGGCCGGTGACTTCAATTGTTCTGCAGATCAGAGAACCAACGCTGTGGGATATCCGACATTTGCCAAAGACGGCATACGCTGTCATGGGCCGAGACATCCAGATGCTGATCATTGGAAACAACTTCTTTTGCAATTTGATTTGATGGCTCTCAATACCTGGAATGCTGGAGATGGACCCACTTATGAATTTTGCAATCATTCATCCAGAATTGACTACATCTGCATTCGAAGAGCTCATGCGGATCAAATAGCAAGAGACGTTAAACAGCTCAGGGACTTCGCACTGGTCCCCATCACTGGCGCTTTTCATGTACCACTGATGACCACCATCAGGCGTGAATGGTTTCCTGAACACAAACAGCAAAACAGTGGATGGTCGAGACAACAACGGCTTCAACTTCACCAACATTGCAACAAGCAGGACACAGTTTTTGACATCTTTCATGCACAGGTGAATGCTGCTGTACGTCGCCTCGAGGAAACCAATACATCAGATCTTTCACTGCTACATGAGACCTTGAATCAGTTTTCTGGCAAACCATTCCAACATGATCAAACCCACAAAATTGACAGATTGGATGTCGGGCCTTTTAGACGATTCCAGGAACACACATTGCAGCTGAGACGAGTACGAACTCGAGATCTGGCTGGACTCTTCAGAGCATGGTTTCATGTTAGTTGCAGATGCAAAGCAAGAAATCTTATGGCCCAAACCTCAAAGGCCGCTCGAAAACACAGACTGGATCAGGTCTATGATGCTGCTGACAGAGCAGAACGAGCCCAAGATCACTTTACCCTGTTTCAGGCAATCAGATCCATTGTACCCAAACAGCCACAGAAGCGTATCTTGCTCCGTTCACTGCAAGGTGAACTCCTTGGACCAGATGAAGCTGCTGACTGGTTACAACAATGGTTCCATGACCTGTACTCAGAAGGAGTATCTCATTTTCCAGTTGAACCTTTTGCATGGCCATTCACTATTGAGGAATTCACACATGGGCTACAAACCCTGCCGACTCATAAGGCCTTGTCCCCCCAGTTCTCACCAGCGCCCTTCTGGAAGTATGGAGCTGAGGCTATTGCCCATTACCTTGCACAGATGCTGAATGATTGTTGCAAGGTTCCGGGTTTTCCTGCAATGTGGGGAGTGGGCAACCTGGCCCTGCTTGTCAAGCCGGGCAAACGAGGCCAACACCCCTCGGAATTGCGCCCGATTGCCCTGTTGGAGCCGACTGGGAAGATAACTTTAGGCTTGGTCACCAAAGCCATCCAGCAACAATTACAGCACTTTTTGAATCGATTGCCACAATTTGCTTATGCTGGAGGCCGTGGCACTGATGATGCCATACATCGACTTGCCAACCACTGCAGGCTGGTAAGGCAAATGGTGAGTGAGCTGAGTTATCCACTACACAGACAACAAATGGGCATGCCTGCTCCCTCCTTGATTGGTGGGATGACACTGTGTCTTGATTTAACCAGGGCATTTGACATGGTAGATAGATCACGTTTATTTGC